ATCTGAAGCTTTTTCAGAAAGTCTGTGGTAGAAAAAAAAAATGGGCATTTTCCAGTGGCTATTGCCTTATTCATGTATTTGTGTAAATATGTGTATATCTGTGTGGGAATGTGTATACGAATATATTCATATATGCTGCATATTAAATTTTGTAGGATACATTATCATCTGCTGCACAGACAGTGTCATGCACCTAAGATGGTTAAATTCACTCTTCAGCAAAGAAATATTCTTTTCCTTTGTTTCTATTACAGAAAATCAAGAGAATTTGATTAACAGGACAATGGATTGGATTCCTAATTGACTAAGCAAATAAAAATTATGTCTACATCTTGTGTTCTATAGAGTTGTGTGCCATCAGCTCTTCTGACCACAAAGGCAAAAAATTTTAATGTGGCTATTTTTGCTATAGTCAGGTAAACTAAAAATTGCTATTTGATAAGGCAGGGTGACATCCACCTGTTGTCCCAACCACAAAAGGAAGAATCAGAAAAATCACGATAGCCCAGAACTTGAGACCCCATATTAAAAATGAAATTAGTAGCCAGATGCTGGTGGGTCATGCCTATGATCCTAGCTACTCAACAGGTTGAGATCTGAGGATCATGTTTCGAAGCCAGCTTAGGCAGGAAAGTCTGTGAGACTCTTATCTCCAACTGAGCACTAAAAAACAAGAAGTAGAGCTATGCTCAAGTGGTAGAGTACTAGCCTTAAGGAAAACAAAACAAAACCAAAAACCCCCAAAATAAAAAAATAAAACAGGGACAGTGCCCAGGCTGTGAGTTGAAGCCCTGGTACTGGCACCAAAAAGATAAATAAAAATGAAATTAGTAACCTCACCTCACCAAAGTTGGTATAAATTGGAACCATAGAAGAAGGGCCACATTTTTTATGTGATAAACAGCTGAGTACTTCTGAAGCTTCTACTGGCTGTGAATCATGAGTCTTGCTATTACAGGCATTGAACAGACAGGTCATTGTGTATAAATGCTGGAGGCAGAGATTACCCAGATGGATAGGTAAGCCTTAAATAATTCAGATTGCAGCCATATAGAGATATAAACAGACATATCCAAGCAATAGTTTTCCCAATTTTTTTTTAATTTTAATTTTTATTTTTTGTGAACATACTGTACAGAGGGGTTACAATTACATGGGCAAGATAATGAGTACATTTCTTATCAAGCATTGTAGCCTCCTCCTTTGTTTACCCTTCACATCCCTTCCCAGCCTCCCCCCTCCCTGCCCCCCCTACCCAATCCTCCCCCCCTCCCCAGTTTTCCCAAATTTTTGAGTGAGCTATTTTGGTAAAATACTTCACTAGTAAGATCACACACACACACACACACACACACACACACACACACACACTTTTACTTGTTTTTATTTTAGAAAGGACTCTAGAATTCTATGTCTAGGAATGAGCCCAACTGGCTCAGGAACGAGTATAGAAATATTCCATCAAGAAATGTATGTATAATGCAGTGATTTCTCTTTTTTGTATATTTTTTATTGTAAAGAAATTGTACAGAGGAGTTACAGTTACATCAGTAAGGTAATGAGTACATTTCCTATCGAGCAGTTACCCCCTCCTTTGTTTTTCCCCTACCATCCCTTCCCTCCCCACCTCCCCAACTCCTCCCTCTCCCCACCCCAAAGTTGTAAAGCATGTTTTCAACATAGTGTCTTGTACATCTCATTGTTACAATGGGTCAACCTGTATCCTTATTTCAGCATTTTGTTTTTTCCCTTCCCCTCCTCAAACTAGAAAAATGCAGATACAAGATACAGGGCACTGGAATCAAATACAGTGAAAACAGGGGTTATACTATGGGGGAAGAACATACAAAAGAAACAAAAAATCACATGGTACATTATAAATACATTAAAAACAATAACAAGAAAGATAAAACGCAGTGATTTCTTAATGGAGTTGTCTCAATTTCTAAGAACTTCTCATGCTAACTAAATATATTTATAGATGTCACAAAGCCAGACTGGAAACCAATGTTGTCCACATTCAATTGCAGAATCTTAGAACCGATGAAATACAATCTGCAGCTAAATCTAAGTACTTGTCAATTTTATAAAGAGAGAGCAGGGGAAACTGTTTACTCTTAATAGAGTACATGTTCTAAAGTATAAATGTGCTGATTGTACTTATCTGTGGAGCTGTAACATCACCATATTCTAAACCCATCTTTGTCTACACTCACTATGTCCACAAATGCCTATGTCCTCTGACTCACACCTCCCGCTAGGTAGACCCCAGTATAGCCCGTCTGCCTTCCCCCGTGGACTATGGGTACCAAGAGGTCCAGGAGCCAGTGACTCTTACCCTAAGCTACAGCTTGGGATCACTTAGAAAGCTTCTGAAAAATCACAGTATCTGGCTAAGTGTGAGAGACACTTATGTGACATAACTATCTTGTGGCTAAACAAGTTATATTTTGTTTGCTTGGTTGTTTTTTGAGGAAGAGTCTTGATTTGTAGCTGGCTTTGAAGCTGAGATCCTCCTGCCCCTGCCTCCACACTGCTGTCATTACAGGGAAAAACTGCCATACCCAGCTGATTGGAGATTTCTTTTCGTTAAATTTTCCACTTCAGTCCTTAGCCTAATCTTGTTTCTGTTGCCTTTCCGTGGCTCTGTCAGTAAGTAGTCTTCTCTTGAATGCGTGCTTCTTTGGATAAGATGTTCCAACATTCAAGACATGTTAGGAAAACACTGAAAGAAGATTATGACTGGAGATGGCTTGGGGAAAAAAAAACCACAATAACATCAAGAGGGTAGATTTCACTACAACAAACTCACAGCAAACTTTGACTATCTAAGACCTGGAAACGGCACAGCTTAAGTACCCAAGCAGCCTTGATCAATATGAACTGAGGATGTACAGCTCGCTTCACATAAACCATAGAGGACTTCATCACTAATATCTAAGTGCCATTGTGTGCATAAGTTTCATTTGACCAGGAACCATGGCCAGACTTTACTTTGCATTAGGAGGCTTTGCATGCAAGATGTCATGTAGTCACCAATAGTATGGCATGGGCAAACAGGACAACAGATTGAGAGAACATGCAACATTTAAAACATTTATATATATATATATATATATATATATATACACACACATACATATACATATGTAACTTTACAGCATAAATATCATTACATTGGCCACAGTTCACATATTTGCATTTAAAGTATCAGCTAGGCACTATCTCACGTTTAGAATCCGAGCTAATCAGGAAGCTGAGATTTGAAAATCAAGGTTTGAAGCCAGCTGCAGCTCACAAATCACAAAACTTTTCAAATTAACCAGTGAAAAGCTGGAAGTAGAGGCATGGTTCAGTTAGTAGAGCGCCACCAATGAGCAAAAAAGCCGAATAAGATAGAGAGTGAACTCTAGTACTGACAGGGTACATACGTGGTACTTCTATTGATAACACTACACTTTCTCATCACTTGCATCACTTCAAGTTAAAGCCAATATTCTTCCTACCTCCCCAAGGAAGGAAGAGAAAGACAAATTAAAAGTAAGTTTCAGGTTTTCAAAATATAATGGATCCGTTGAAATGCTTCCCAAGACAAAGAGCTAATATTTCAACTAGATTGATGCCCGGCCCGAGAAGTGTCGAGGACTCTTAATTCTGATGAGTCATGTAGATTTTTTTTGTCAGTTGTGGGACTTGAACTCAGGGCCTGGGTAATCCCTCAGCTTTTTGTGTTCAGGACTAGAGCACTTTCACTTTGAGCCACAGTTCCACTTCCAGTTTTCTGGTGGTTAATTGGAGGTAGGAGTCTCACAGACTTTCCTTCCCGAGGCTGGCTTTGAAATGTGATCCTCAGATCTCAGCCTCCTGAGTAGCTAGGATTACAAGTATGAGCCACCAGTGCCCAGTGAGTCCTATGGATTAGATAGGCCCTGCAGTATTAGTAGCAGCTGCAGTTGAAATCTCAAACTAGGAAACCCAGTGCTACTTCCCTGGGGCATTTGTTGGGAAAGGTGCTGTCTCCCTCAGAAGAGTGCCCACAACACAGCTGTCATGGGCAAGGTGTGTAGAAGGATGAGAAAAGATGAAAAGAAACCCAAGATCATTAACGTCTGGAGTATGAGTTTGCTTGGCCTGTATTCCCCACATGCCACTCTGCCCTGGCTGCTGAGAGATTCAGAGGCAGGAGCCAGGCCCTGGTAGCTCACCCCTACCATCCTAGCTACTCAGGAGGCTGAGATCTGAGGATCCCAGGTCAAAGCCAGCTGAGGCAGGAAAAGTCCATGGGATTCTTATCCCGTTAACCACGAAGAAACCAGAAGCAGAGCCATGGCTCAAGCAATAGAGCACTAGCAAGTAAAAGCTCAGGGACAGCACCCAGGTCCTGAGTTCAAGCTCCAGGATGGCTGTGTACATGCACGCATGCACGCGCGTGCACGCACACACACACACACACACACACACACACGGAAGGAAGGAAGGAAGGAAGGAAGGAAGGAAGGAAGGAAGGAAGGAAGGAAGGAGAGAGGGAGGGAGGGAGGGAGGAAAAGAGGAGGAGAGAAATAAGACAAGAGGAAATGAAATTCAGGGGTGGAGGACAAAGCAGCCAAGTTTGTCTTTCCAAAGAGGAATGGAGGTGGGTGTGGGTCCTCTGTTAAAAACAGCCCGGACAGCTGGATCCCTGTGTCTTGGAAAGCTAAGGGCTTTTCCGTGTTTCACACAGGGCTGTTTAGTCTGGGTGCTGGGGCTTCATATATCAGTTTTTGGCTGTAGTGTCATTGAGACAGTTCTAATTTCCAATTATTTCATTGGCATCTGTATTTGCCCAGGTTGGAAGAAAGTACTAAATGAAGTCCCTGCAGGATCACTTAAAAGATTGTCTTTCTTCATTCATGTGCTTTAATGGTATTGCCAGAGCTGCTTAAAAAAAAAAGGAAAAAAGAAAAAAAAACACCTAAGACTGCACTTAATAAATACCACCTGTGTTCCCATTGCTTTTTCAGAAGTGGCAGTGCATTGAGGACACATCTGGCAAGCTTCGCATCCACAAGTGCAAAGGACCCAGTGACCTGCTCCCAGTCCGCCAGAGCACGCGCACCATCTACTCCCGAGGCTTCCAGGGCAAAGAGAGAGAGGAGTGCAGTTGTCGCGAGAATGGCTATCGCCCCAGCCGCAGCCAGAGGAAGAGTCAAAGGCAGTTCCTGAGAAGCCAGGCCTCTCCCAGTAAGCCTTAACCTTGTGACTCTGTTCAGTGGCCAGCCAAGGTCTCAAGGACATAAAAGCTTGCTTCTTCCACAGATAGCATCAGTGTGTGGTTTTCAGACTAGAAGCAAATCATTGTTCTAAATGAGAAGGCTAATAGTAATTGGAAGTTTTGCACTGTAAATATTTTCATTGAAACATAAAAATAGAAATATGTTTAGTTAAGAACTATATGCAAAACATATGCACATGCAAACAGCCATGGAATGGCTCCCAAAGGGAAAGGGGCATAGTTTAGGTCCATTTTATTTTACCTTGGAGTTTATTAATGCCCTGCTTTACCTGCCTTAAACTGTTCATTAAAAAAAAAATCAATCCAGTGTATCATTGTGTGCAGTTAAGACAAAAAGGATAAGAAACTTTTAAAAAGATATGTTTAATGCATCTTAGAACACTATATATATACATATATATATGTATATATATCATTTTGTCATATCATTGGACTTATTGATTGGCAGTGTCAAACTAGCCCAATTTAATATGAACTTCACTGCCTGGTATATGTATAATCTGATTTGTTGAATGGTAACTCCTTTGTACTACTACTTAAAGATAATAAAAATAGAATTTTTAAAAATAAATTAAAATACAGAAGAAAAAAAAAGACCTCAACTCTCAGGCAGCTTTGAAATACCTGATTATGTAAATAAAAAGCCCACAGAATGACACCTTCCACTGAAGAGTAAGGCTCTAGTGCCATCTAGTGGACTAATGGGAAAGTGGCTCAACTCCATCAAGTTTGTTTGCTGTAGTCACTTGGAAATAAGTGTCTTGGACAGTTCTGTGTCCAGATTTGGGGGTGGGGGTGGGGGAAGGGGAACTCATACCAGACAATAACGGGAATATTTAATCCTGGCATTGGTAGCGTACGCCTGTAATCCTTGCTAGTTAAGAGGGTAAGATGTGAGGATTGGGGTAGATAAATCCATGACATTCTTCTCCCTAACCAGTAAAAAGTCAGAAATGGAGTTCTGGCTCAAGTGGTAGAGTACTAACCTTGAGAGGAAAAGAAAAAAAATGAGAGCCTGAGGTTCTGAGTCCCAGTACCAGCTCACACACATCCAAGCAGGCATTTTTGTGGAATCAAAACAGGCTTTAGGATCATGAATCTTTAGTATTTCACCCAAAATTGAGTGCACTTTCTATGTAGATTGCACATTTTTCTCAAAGTCAATCATTTTCAATGAGTTCTTAAAAGAACCCATAACCTGAAAAACTAAGAACCATTGACTTAGATATTGTTCCTTCCTGGAAAAATAAGCCCAGTTTAAATTATTCAGACAAGAATATCCAATGTAAAACCAACAAAGGACGAGGTCCTCTGACATAGTCCTTGGACAAAAGTGAATTACAAAAATGCAGCATAGAAGTAGGAGGCTTCCTCTTCCCTTCCAGAAAGTTAGGCCTCACTGCCCAAGCATTGACCATAAAACACATGAATATGTCAATGTTGGGCACAAGCAGGAATCCTGAGGAGCTTTTATCCAAATGGTGGAATCTAGCATAGTAGGGAGCAAGATGCCACATTGAACTCCGGGAAATACTCAGTCACTTGCTGTCATGGAGGTCACTCACCATCAGGAAATGGCAGAGTTGTGAAGAGCTGTCTCAAAGCCCGGCCTTTGTTCCCTCTTCTTCTGTTTCCAAAGCAGGTGGGTAGCTAAGGCCAGAGCCTGAGCCTCCACAGACTAAATGTGTCTGCTAAACAGGGGCCCAGTGTTGCCCTGTGAGGGTCTCCTTTAGGACCTGATAATTATTTGACAAATGTTCCGGGGTTCCACCGAACACCACCTTCCATCAGCCAGCTATAAAAAGTCACTTGATGATAAGCGGGTCCAATTGTAGTTCCTGTATTTCTGCAAAATGTACGGAACATTTAAAGGTTTGGTTTTCTCATTCATCAAATGAGGATGATGACATCAATTTCGTGAGCCTACTAGGACAATCCAGTATATTTTTATGTAAGGATTTATTATAATCATACCTTTTAAGAGGATAGATATGAGATAATACTTGGTGTAGAAGACAGCAACAACTCAGTGAAGAAAAGTTATTATGAATACTGTAATCAGGAATATAATTTTATCCAGATTACCATAGCTAAACATAGAAGTCCCAGCATGGAAAGAAAGGGTCTTAGAGATTACCAAGACTGCCCCTCCCCCAACTTGAGGGATGAAGGGCGTGAGGCCCAGAGAAGCATGAAATCCGCCCCCCTTCTGTGGGCTGGCACAGCCAGATGAAGCCCATGGCTCCTCATCCTGGCTCCTCTAGACACCATGGCTGTCCAGAGAGCTGCAGTGACCACAGCTCTGCAGCTTGCTCCGCCTGCGTCTCTCCTTGCGGGGACAGGTGATCAGTGTTTTCACTCCTCACCCACACAAACCCATCTTCCTCTGTTTCCAGAGTATAAGCCCAGATTTGTCCATACCCGGCAGACTCGTTCCCTGTCTGTGGAATTTGAAGGCGAAATCTATGACATAAATCTGGAAGAAGAAGAATTGCAAGTGCTGCAGCCAAGGAGCCTTGCCAAACGCCATGATGAAGGCCAAAGTGGGCTGGGCAGCCGCCAGGCTGCCAGCGGTGGCAATGAGGGCGAGATGCTGGCAGACAGCAGCAATGCAGTGGGCCCACCCACCACTGTCCACGTGACACACAAGTAAGTTCACTAGGGTGGACATAGACATTGTCCCCGGTCCCCAGTGATTTCCGTTCTGCACTTTACAAAGAAGTGGCAGCTCTGGGTGGGGCTGGCCTACATAACCACCGGTGGTAAGGACATGTGCTTCCAGTTCAATTTCATATTAAGGCTAATCAGCTGGGAATCCAGCCAGAGTCATTCTGTCACGTCTTGATTTAGCAGGCTTGGAGTTCCTGCCACTAAATAATTACCTTTGTAGGCGTCTAGGAGCATATGGAAACAGTTACAGGGACTGGTGGGGGCTCTTCCACTGCGTGGTCTGATCACTTACAGCACTGTGTCATCATGATCTCAGAAATGAAACACAGCCCCAGAGAGGACTGTGGGTCCTGAAGGAGAGTTTAGAAAAGCAGCATAGGGAAGGAAGGTATGGAAGATACAGAAAAGCCTATGTGTCCCAGATTGCGGAGGTCGGAAAGGGCCTTGCGAGGCATGTAGGGAAGGGAAGGGACTCTGCCACGCCTGTAATGCTTCTTGATTCTTTGGCTTCTCCTCAAATGCAGGCACCAGTGGCTCACGCCTTTAATCCTAGCTACACAGGAGGCTGAGATCTGAGGATCCTGGTTCCAAACCAGCCCAGACAGGAAAGTCTATGAGATTCTCATCTCTAATTAACCACCAAAAATCCAGAAGTGGAGCTGTGGCACTAGTGGTAGAAAGAAGGAAAGAAAGAAAAAGGGGGGGGAGGGAGAGGATGAAAGAAAAAGAGAGAAAACCCTTTTGAATTTATTGGTAGGATTTCTTTTCTCCCTAAATTCATTATTTTGGAGGCATGGAGCATGTAATAAGCCCACCCAGGACATTTATTGCTGGTCTGATCTCCGGACACTTATCATTGTGAGTTATAAACTAAGAGATTGACACTAGTATTTGTTTCTCTATCGTCATGGGTTGAGCCATAGCCATTCATTCACCTTCTTTCAGGGGCTCTGCTCAAGGCTGGCACTGCACCGCTTGAGCTACCCCTCCGCCTCCTGGCTCAGCACGTGATGCAGAGCTGGTGTCCTGTGGTGCAGACCAGTGGTAGAGCACTTGCCGAGCATGCAAGAGGCCCAAGGCGAAGACTTACACACACGCGCACACGTGCGTGTGCACACACGCCGCACACACATACACACACATACACACGCCGCACACACAAACACAAATAATAATAATTTTTTCAAAATGATTAGTGGAGTACATAAAACAAGCTGTTTTGAACAAAATGCCTGAAATGAATGCATTTCTTCTCACTGTATTATTACTTCAGATAAGACTTTTGCATTCTGACTATGGAAAAAAGTCTTTTTTTCTCTCTGTATGTATACTTTAACAATGGGCTTGGGAGTAGAACATGTTCATGGTGACATTCTGTTTTGTTTTATTTTTTGTGCTACTCAAGGTTGAACTTGGGGCCTCATGCGTGCTAGACAGGCACACTATCACTTAAGTATCACACACACACACACACACACACCTTTTTGGTTTTGTTAAGCTATTTTATACATCCAGCTTCCCACTTATGTTCAGTCTCCTATTTATGCTTTCCAAAGAGCTGAGATGATAGATGAGAGTTATCGCTTGAAATGGAATCTTTTTTACCCTAGTTGACCTCAAATCTTGATTCTCCTGACCTCTGCCTTCTGAGCAGCTGGGCCTACTGGCATGAGCCACTGTATCCAGCTTGAGAGCATGCATAGGAAAAGCTGCCTTGTAAGAAAATCTTACCGATGATCTTAGTCTTAGACTTATGGCAACGTCTTTTACCAGGACACACTCTCATTGTCCTTTGTCTATTCTAAACTCACTCTATATCTACAGTAAGATTTTTGAGGCTGCTAACTTCATTGCGAACTCCACGTTTAAAAAAAAATATTGGAATGTCAACCTGTTTATTCTGTGTATGTTTTGCAGGTGCTTTATTCTCCCAAATGATACAATCCATTGTGAGAGAGAACTGTATCAATCAGCCAGAGCCTGGAAAGACCACAAGGCATACATTGACAAAGAGGTCAGCATCGGGGCTGAGAGCGTGGCATGGGGCAGAACACTCACCTTACATGTGCAGCCTGGGTTCCATCCACAGCAGTGCAAACAAATAGTGACGTCAGCATAGACATGAGTTATCTTCCATGCCCTGGTTGCTTGCCAGCCCGACTGTGGCCAGGGACATACTGTATATATGCATCATCATTCTCATTATTACGTGAAAAAGAGGAAATCAACGTATTTATTTTTTTCCCCAGTGATTCAGTGGTAGCCCTGCTGCATACAGACTCAAAGATCAAAGTGAGTCAATGATCACTTGCAATCTCTTGAAGAAAATGACAGTTAGAAAGACATCTGTGAGTGTTTATCTGTGTCACACCAGGTTGGGAGAGAGAGAGAGAGACAGAAAGAGAGAGAGGTATTCTGTGCCCAGTTTGTTTCCAAATTAATTTATCAGCTTCCATAGTTACAATTGAAGAGCACAGCAAACAATAAAAAGCAAGTTACTTGGCAGAAACAACCCCTCCCTTTCGATGTTCACTGTTGGAGTGTGTGTTTTCCAGATCGAAGCTCTGCAGGATAAGATCAAGAATCTGAGAGAGGTTAGAGGACACCTGAAGAGAAGAAAGCCCGAGGAGTGCAGCTGTGCCAAGCAGAGGTGACCGTGTGGCTGGGGTCCTCTTCCACAGGCAGTGCTACCCAAGCTGGGGGGACATGACCAGTTCGTTAACAAACACAGAGCCATCTATGTACAAAATAGTCACTTGGTTTGTTTCAACTGCATGCTCTCTCCTGTGCTACACTGGCCTCATTCATGTGAGCCATTGAACTTCAGCAAGCTAAAGAATCCATCTCCCCAAGCTGAACTAGGGTCCCTGGCGTAACTGGCTGCCCTCTAGGTTGCTTTCTTTTTCTGAAACGCACTTTGTGCTCAAAGGCAAGGTCATAAAGACTCACTTTATAATCTTCTGGCCTGCAGCTATTACAATAAAGAGAAAGGTGTCAAACGGCAAGAGAAATTAAAGACCCATCTTCACCCATTCAAGTAAGTAACTCCTATCTGTCCACCTTTGCTGGTTGTCAAGGGCTGGTCACTGTCCTCTGTGAGGTTGGGGGAATCCTTGCACTGCGAATGGTGATGCTCTGGAAGAGGCAGATCCGTCTGTCCCGAGGGCTCGTAGCTGAGCAAGTGGACAGCGCAGTCAGGTACTCTACTCAGGAGGATGAGATGTGGAGGACCACAATTTGGTGGGTTTTGTTTTTAGGTTTTGTCAGTCATGGGGCTTGAACTCTGGGCCTTGATACTGTCCTTGAGCTCTTCAGCTTAAGGTGAGCGCTCTACCCCTTGAACCACAGTGACACTTCTGGTTTTCTGGTGGTTTACTGGAGATAAGAGTCTCACGGACTCTTCTGTCCAGGGTGCCTTTGAACTGAGATCCTCAGATTTCAGCCTCCTGAGTAGCTAAGATTATAGGTGTGAATCACCAGTGCCCAGCTAGGACCAGAGTTTCAAGTCCGTCTGGGCAGAGAAGTCCACAAGACTATTTCCTTAATTAGCAAAAGGCCAGGCTAGAAACATGGCTCAAGTGATAGAGCCCCAGCTCTAAGCAATGAAACTGGGCTACAGCATAAGGTCTTGAGTTCAAGTACTAGAACTAGCATAGGTAGGGAGGAAGGGAGGGAAGAAGGAAGAGAGAGAGGGAGGAAGAAAGGAAAGAAGGAAGAGAAGGAGGGAGGGAGGAAAGAAAATATAGAAAACCAACACCTCCCACAAGGAACTCTATGATGCTACATTGCTTCTGGAATCTTTGACAGAAAGTCACACAGATTCCACTCTAGTTCTGCCTGCATATTGTACCTCCCATGTTGAGACTACCTTTTGTCAAGAGCAACTGAGACAGAGACAGGTGATTAGGATTAGGAGTGCAGTAGAGCCTCCTGTAATGGTGCTGTATTCTGACCTTACAAGGAAACATACACAGATACTTCAAACAATAGCAAAATTTACATGTATAGGTGATTTGCTCTTTGAACCTCAACAAAAGCCTTATGACAAGAATTTTTTTTTTTTTTTTTGTCGGTCATGGGGCTTGAACTCTGGGCCTGGGCGCTGTCCCTCAACTCTTCAGCTCAAGGCAAGCGCTCTACCACTTGAGCTACAGCACCACTTCCGGTTTTTCTGGTGGTTTTTATTGGAGATAGGAGTCTCACGGTCTCTCCTGCCCGGGCTGGCTTTGAACCGCGATCCTCAGATCTCAGCCTCCTGAATAGCTAGGATTACAGGCGTGAGCCACCAGCGCCCGGGCTGACAAGAATTTTTTAAATCAGCTTTCCAAACCAATTTTGTAGAATTTACCGAAGGATCTTTTTGGAAGTCTTTTATTCCAGCCATCCGCTCTGATCAACCGTTGACCCTATGGCATTGAACCACCCCCAAATTATGCCATCTGTCTAAAGAGTGTGGTTAACGGGGTCCACTGGGGCATGCATGAGACGTTTGGGCCCTTCGGTGCTTGCACATAAATGAGGGGAAGGATGTTGATCCTGTTAGGTTTAGAAGGTTCTGACATAGTTCTGACACTCAGTAAGTTTGTTTACCTTCTCCACCGTGCTCACCGTGTGGAGGCCCTCTGCAAAGTGAAGCTCTTCTGCTTTCGTGTATCTGTTACTGTGAATGACATGACTGTGCTAGGCTTCTAACAACAGTCCCGTCTGTCACTGAGAAAGGACCTGGGGTCACCCTTTCTCTTGGGACAGGGAGGCTGCTCAAGAAGTGGATAGCAAACTGCAACTTTTCAAGGAGACGCGCAGGAGGAAGAAAGAGAGGAAGGAGAAGAGGCGCCAGAGGAAAGGGGAAGAATGCAGCCTGCCTGGCCTCACCTGCTTCACGCATGACAACAACCACTGGCAGACGGCCCCCTTCTGGAACTGTAAGTGCTCATTGCACACGCTCTTTCCCTCCACCAAGACAGAGCACATGACTCTTACTGGAGTTCCTTAGGTCAGGACGTTAGCCCCAGGAAACAGACATCTAAGCAGATGGAGGACGCAGGTGTCCTATAAAGATCTATACTGCAAAAATAATGGCTTTCTTCATTAGAAAAAAATGTTTGGTATTGGGCTGGGAAGGTGTCTCCGTGGTAGAGTGCTTGCCTCACATGCATGAGGCCCTGGGTTCGATTCCTCAGCACCACATAAGCAGGAAAAGCCGGAAGTGGTGCTGTGGCTGAAGTGGTAAAGCACCAGCCTTGAGCTGAAGAGCTGAAGGACAGCACTCAGGCTGAGTTCAGGTCCCATGACCCTAGGAGGCGGGACGCAGGGGGGGGGGGGGCGGGGGGGAGAGGTGGAAGCGGGGAGTTTGGTATTGTATATTAAAATGAAATGTGTCAGATGGTCAACAGGAAGGGTTTCTTCCTGGTAAATGCCTAATTTTACCCCAACTAGATTTTTGTCTTAGCTTTACTCTGCATAGTGTAAGTGTAATCAAAGAAAGTAAAAGACTGGGAAAGGCTTCTTGAATGCAAAATCCATACCTTCTGCAGGTTTACTCTGCCTCAGTGCTAGCAGGGTGCAAGAAGTATTACCTCACATTTGTTGAGCTGTTGAAGATACAGAATAATGATGCACTTTTTAAAACAAGTGGTTTTATCGTCTTTGGTGGTCTGTGTATAATATTCACGGAGGACATTCAGAAATAATACCCTAGATTCTCATGGTATGTCATCCAATTGAAAGCTTACCAGTAGAGCGGATACACACCCAATCTTTCCATTAAGAGGCTCAGTGGAAACTACCCAGGCAGTGGTTCTCTAAGTAGGATTTGGAACTCCAAGGAGTTGTAAAATCCGCAGACCATTCTTAGGAGAATCAAAGGCCAATCCAGGAGGAAGTTTTACCTTACCATTTGGGTGCTTCCTGATTTGTGTCTGTGCTTGGGTTTAGGCTAAGTGACTGTTAAGTCATAGCACTCAACTTCTTATAGAGCTCCTGAAATCGAATTTGTAGATCTTTGACGGATACTGAGATTGCTGGATTTTGTTTCCCTCCATGCTCTGGGCTGAGTACAGGGACACAACAATAAGCATGATCTCTCATTCTCTGCTCTCGTCACATTTACATTCCAGTGGGGGGGAGGGTTATAAAAAGAAAAAAAATGAAATAAAATAATTGCAACTTATATTCATGCAATGAAGGACAAAGTGGTCAAGGTTTAAGGGAATCCTTCTAAAGCAGGTAAAGAGTATGTGAGTCACCTTTCTATTACTATGACCAAACACTTGAGACAATCAACTTGGAAAGAGGAAAGGCTTATTTGTAACTCATAGTTTTGGTCCATGATCAGTGGGCTTTATTGCTTTTGAGCCTGTGGCAAGACAGGGCATCATGGCTGAAGCATGTGGTTGCAGCTGAGAAGCAGGGAGAGAAGGAGGATGTGGAGAGGCCCACCATTCCCTTCAAGAACACACCCCCAGTAACCTAAGATCTCCCCCTCAGCCCTACTTCTTAAAGCAAAAGGAACAAGCTTTTTAATGCCTGAACCTTAGGGGAGATTCTAGATCCAAATTAAAGCAATGGTTCTCTGTGAAATCTAAAAAGTAAAGTCATCCAAGTATAAAGGAGAGAACAGCATCTCAGTGGAGAGAGTAGCATGAACAGTGGTTCTGAAAATGTGACAGATTTGGTAGGAAAGATGAAACCTTCAGAACAGGAAATTACAGTGGCTCCTGCTGGAAGGAGCCCCTTACCCCTTTGTCTGCTCAGACCATCCTGTTCATGACAGCTTCATTTCTTAGCCTAGCCACTGGCAAAGCACCTGTGGTATCTCCCAGACTCCTCTCTTGCTCTCATCCATCCACTGTGGATGAATTTAGAATGATCTCTTGATGCCATCCTGTTTTTTTCTTAGCCTGAAATGCAAAGCCTTCCCATATCCAATAAAGTCCTGCATGCTATAATTTGGTCCTTCTCTAGATTGTTCCCTCGCTCCCACTCCTGCCCTCCAGCCATCTGCTGAGCCGTCTTCCTCTCCCACTGCATGGCCTTTGTCCTCTCTTCCAAGGCTCTGTGCCTCTCAGTCCACTCAGCCTCCATTTCTCCTTTACAATGGTGCTCCTCTTGGATACCTTTCCTGTGTCTCACATGAGGAACCCAATTGCAGTTAGCCCTCCAAATCCATTGGTACAATGGTACATTCAAGTAACTGCACATGGAATATATTTAGAAAACAAATGTACTGAATATATTCAAGATCCATGTAACATTTACATTGTTTCTGGTGTTACAAGTCATCGAGCAAAGATTTCCAGTATGCAGGGCATTGGGCATGGTTCTATACAAATACTACATCATTGTATATGGGGAACTTGAGCTTTTATTGATTTTGGTGTTCTCAGGACTTGCTGAAACCCATCCATGGATACTGAGGCAGAAGTATACACTGTTAGCATTATTTGTAATTAGATATTGCTATTGTTTTAATTTTTTATTCACATAACTTTTGTTTTCATCACTAGACTACACGTTTCTCATCATAGATAAAACCACATGTATGTGACACTGTACCTCTGACATATTAGGTGAATAAATATGTAAACCAATAAGAAACCAACTCAGGTTGATTTAATTGAACTTTCATTGTCTGCTGCTAGGTGTCACTTTGCTAGTAACATGAGGAATGGAGGAGCAGTCTCCTGCTGTCACTTAGTTTTCGGAAGCAGAGGAGAGACTCCATCTCACTCAAACCAGATTGATATATATGGTGCTTTTGAGGTTGTTATTCTAGAACAATGACTTGAGGAAAAAAAATTTAATAGCAAGCCATAGTAAAAAAATTCATTTTAAAAGCAAAGCACCCATGACTCATCCCTATAATCCTAGCTACGCAGGAGGCTGAGATCTGAACATCACTGTTTGAAGCCACCCTGGGCAGGAAAATCCATGCAACTCTTATCTCCAATTAAACATCCAAAAGCTAGAATTGGAGCTGTGACTCAAGTGATAAGGCACTAGCCTTGAGCAAAAAACTCAGAGATAGCGCCTAGGCTCTGATTGCAAGCCCCAGAATCAGCACATATATGCACACAAAAAGTATGGTCTACATTAAATTATACTTTATTGTGCTACCATTCTAACCTGACCTGTATATTATGAAAAGACACAAAATAAAAATTTAAATTAGAGAGGAAAGTTTATTTAAAATTTTTTTTATTTGAAGAGCCGGGTGCTGGTGGCTCACGCCTGTAATCCTAGCTACTCAGGAGGCTGAGATCTGAGGGTTGCGGTTCAAAGCCAGCCTGGGCAGGAAAGACCGTGAGACTCCTAACTCCAATAAACCACCAGAAAACCAGAAGTGGCACTGTGGCTCAAGTGGTAGAGTGCTCGCCTTGAGCTGAAGAGCTGAAGGACAGCACTCAGGCCCAGAGTTCAAGCCCTACGACAGACCAAAAAAAAAAAAATTTATTTGATTCCTTAGAGGGTCCTTAAAAAATGTAGCTCTGATTCATTAGTCTCCATGTCACACTTAAAATGTACTGAGCCAGCTGGGTGCCTGTGGCTCATGCCTATAATCCTAGCTACTCATGAGGCTGCCTGGCAAAACAACACAATTTTGAAACTCAATAATAACAATAGGATAATGAGTGTATTTCTTATCAAGCATTGTAGCCTCCTCTTTTGTTTACCCATCACATCCCTTCCCAGCCTCCCCCAGCACCCCACCTAATCCTCCCCCCCCCCCCCACCAAAGTTGTAAAGTTTGTTTTCGACATGACAACTTATACAGTTGTTGCAACGGGTCCACCTGTATCCTTATTTAAACGGCTTGTTTTAAAGAAATAATCTTATAAATGCATTAGAAACAAATGCATGAAAGAAAAAAATTTAAATACATATCTTAGGGTTCATTTTCCTAACATCACCTTATCTGACCTTTTCTGCTTGACTCATACATATACTAGATATTGCAAATAAGGGAAACCATGGGACCTGTTTCTTTGGGCTTGGCTTACTTCACTTAATATAATTTTTTGTAACCCCTCTGTACAGTACTTTCACAATAAAAAATATTTTAAAAAAAGACTTAAAGAGAAACTTCTCTGAAGAGGAAAGAAGGATGGCCAATAAACACATGAAGAAATGTTCAACCTCCCTAGCCATAAAAGAAATGCAAATCAAAACAACATTGAGATACCACCTCACCCCAGTTAGAATGGCTATAATCAAGAACTATAATAACAACAGATGCTGGAGGGGATGTGGACAGAAGGGAACCCTACTGCATTGTTGGTGGGAATGTAAACTTGTTCAACCACTTTGGAAAGTAGTATGGAGGTTCCTCAAAAGACTTCACATAGAGCTCCCCTATGACCCAGCAATCCCACTTTTGGGCATTTACCCAAATGATCACAAACAAGACCACACTAAAGCTACCAGCACAACTATGTTTATTGCAGCCTTATTTACCATAGCTAAGATATGGAAGCAACCCAGATGCCCCTCAGTAGTTGAATGGATCAAGAAAATGTGGTATATATACACAATGGAATTCTATGCCTCCATCAGAAAGAATGATATTTCCCCATTTGTTAGGAAATGGAAAGACTTGGAAAAAAATTATATTAAGTGAAGTAAGCCAAGCCCGAAGAAACATAGGTCCCATGGTTTCCCTTATTTGCAATATCTAGTATATGTATGAGTCAAGCAGAAAAGGTCAGATAAGGTGATGTTAGGAAAATGAACCCTAAGATATGTATTCAAATTTTTTTTCTTTCATGTATTTGTTTCTAACGCATTTATTTTTTCTTAATTTATCTTATTTTATTTGTGAACATACTGTACAGAGGGGTTACAATTACATGGGCAGGATAATGCATACATTTCTTACCAAGCATTGCAGCCTCCTCCTTTGTTTACCCTTCACATCCCTTCCCAGCCTCCCCCCTCCCCCCCCAGTCCCAATCCTTCCCACCCCCCCCAGCCCCACCCCCTCCCCGCACCAACGTTGTAAAGCTGGTTTTGGACATGACAACTTGCACTTCTCATTGTTGCAACGGGTCCACCTGTATCCTTAAAGGACTTGTTTTTCCCCTTCCCCTCCACAAATTATACCGACATCAAATACAATGAAAGCAGGGGTTATACTGTGGGGGAGGGACCAGTATAACCCCTGCTTTCATTGTATTTGATGTCGGTATAACTTGTGGAGGAGATGGGGAAAAACAAGTCGTTTAAATAAGGATACAGGTGGACCCGTTGCAACAATGAGAAGTACAAGTTGTCATGTTGAAAACAAACTTTACAACTTTGGTGGGGGGGCAGGGGGAGGCTGGGAAGGGATGGAAAGGGTAAACAAAGGAGGAGGCTACAATGCTTGATAAGGAATGTACTCATTATCTTGCCCATCTAATTGTAACCCCTCTGTACAGTATTTTCACAATAAAAACTATATTAAAAAATAATAATAACAATAGGAAATTTAAGCACATTCAGAACTTCTGCTTTGGGTGAGAGAGAGAGAGATTCATTTTTAAATTCTTTTTTTTTAATTTTTTTAATTTAATTTAATTTTTTTGTGCACATACTGTACAGAGGGGTTACAATTACATAGGCAGGCTAATGCGTATATCTCTTTTAAATACATTCTACGAATATTTAAGGGAACCTCTTCATAGTACCAATGATGCTCATGGCCAAAGCCCATCACAAATTAAAGTGGTGGAGAAAGTCCACAATGATTCCAAATGATGCCTCCCCCAGACCACCACGCTGGGCTTGAGCTATCTCCAGAGCCTCTGACACTGCGGAGGCCAGCCTCGGGAGGCCTTGCTCCTGACCCAGAGAAGAAGTGAGGGGCCAGCTTCATCCCTTTAAGAAACAGCCATTTCTTTTTCCTTTTTCCAAACAGATTACCAGATTCTGGTTTTCTTCTTCTTCTTCTCATACTCCAGTCACTAACCCTTCTTTGTCGAGCACTGTCTAACATCGTTAAGGACAGAACTGCCTAATGGGCTGCAACTTAACCTTGGCCTTCAACCTCTCAGAGCTCCTCATCTTGTTTTCTGTATTCACCTGGATTTACATCAAATGTATGTGGGAGAGGCGACATAGTTATCTTTAACATCAAACCATAATATTTGTAAGAAAGAAAATTAGCCAAGTACTAGTGGATCTACCTATATATCCCAGTTACTTGGGAGATTAAGAATGGACGCATCAGGGTTCTAGGCCAGAAAAATCTGAAACATTCCATCTCCCAGCGATGATAGGAAGCCTAAAATAGGCAGATTGTGGTCCGGGTGTATGCCCAGGAAGGAAGCAAAGCCCTATCTCAAAGCACATTTGCCTTTACATACAACACACAGACACACACGGACACACGGACACACACAGACACAGACACACACAGACACACACACACACACACACATACACACACACACCGAGGCTGGAAGCCTGGTTTAGCAGTAGAACATCTACCTACCAAAAATGGACTGTCCAAGCTGTTTCATTGTATTTGTCTTTTTGTTTTGTTTTGTTTTTTCTTTCTTGCTCAACAGTGGGATCCTTCTGTGCCTGCACAAGTTCTAACAATAACACTTACTGGTGTTTACGTACAGTAAATGAGACACATAATTTTCTTTTCTGCGAGTTTGCTACTGGCTTTTTGGAATATTTTGATATGAACACAGATCCTTACCAGGTAAAACTACAAGATAATATACTTTCACTTTATGGATATTGTTGGTGCTCGGATAACCAGAACAGGAACTTATATCTGGTGCCCTGCCTTCTTTGTTCACAGCTCACCAATACAGTGCACACAGTAGAACGTGGCATTTTGAATCAGCTACACATACAGTTGATGGAACTCAGAAGCTGCCAAGGGTATAAGCAGTGTAACCCACGACCTAAAGGCCTTGAAGTTGGTAAGGAAAAAAAAATTATATATGTATATATACACACACACACACACACACACACACACACATATATATATATATATATATATATATATATATATCTTGGAAAATTCTTTGTGTTACTAAGTTTTCTGCCTTTGAAACTTGTATATGTGCAGAAACATACTGTTCAGGGGTAGTCATAGGGGAAACTTTCCAGGCAATTTAAAGCATAATTTGATCTCTCTCTAAGTTTAATTCAGAGTATATAGCAATGAAAAACTCCAACTACCAAAAGATTGGGTTAAGTGTTTCCTTCCAATCTCTCCCAGAGGACTATTCTAATAGTAAATTCTGTAGTAACTGTTGGAAGTTGAGCTGTAAGCGTTGGAGATTTCCTTGCTATCGCTGTCAACAATCATAAGATATATTCTAACAAAACCAGAAGGTCCTCTTTTTTTGTTCTGTTTTGTTTTTAGGGGAACTTGGTAGAAATACACAGTGGCCCTGTTTCTGCTTGTCAGTTTGGAGCTCCTCCAGTTGGATCCCTGCCCATGTCATAGTGAATTTGATTACTTTTTCCAATAGTTCCCATCTGAAAATAGAGATACTTGAGAAGTTCACTAACTTGGGACCTGAGATGGAATTCGCCAGAGGTTCCCTCTCCAGTCTGCAGTGTGTAACTGACTTTTCCTTTGGCTCATGGAGACATAGCTCATTCAGTGTTGCCCCAACTCTTTCCTCACTTGTTCTATTATAACTCTAGAAATTTAAGTATCAGCTTCCCATAGGAGAAAAGAAAAGAACTGAAGCTAGCAAGGGCATTGGTATGTACACAGCATGTCAACCCCCAGTGGGTAAAAAGCAAGCTGGACTTACAGACATTAGGAACCACTTTGTAGGAGCTCAGTTTATTTTTTATTTTTAAATACATTTATTTATATGTATTTATTTATTTTTGTACTGGTCCTGGGGCTTGAACTCGGAGCCTAGGTGCTGTCCCTGAGCCTTTTTGCTCAAAGCTAATGCTCAACCATGTGAACCACAGCTTCAAACTTCCAGCTTTTTTGGTAGTTAGTTAAAGATAAGAGTCTCATAGGCTTTCCTGCCTGGGCTAGCTTTGAACCGTAGAAATGCTGCTTTTGCAGTAGAATCAACAATCACTTCACCTTCCACCCCAGACTCTTATCTTTAAATCTCACCCTCCTGAGTAAGATTGTAGGTTTGAGTCACCAGCACCCAGCACTTTTTAAAAAAATTATTATTATTCCTTATTACTTATAAGTAACATATAATATATAAGTTGTACAAAGGGATTCTGTTTGTACAAAGGGATCTCGGTTTGTGAGCACAATGCAGCTTGATTAATGTCAACCCTTTTGACCATTCTCCCCCATCTCTCTCAACCCCACTCATTCCCCTCAATTTACCTGGTCAGGAGCCCACTTTAATAAGCCAATTTTAATCTTTATCTGAGGGTCCCATATTTAACCAGTATCCCCAGCAACAGAAGTGACAAATTTTTGCCTCCTGTGACTTGTGGGGGAAAAAGAGTTTCTCCTCCTGAAATGATCAACATCCTTGCTTGTCATTCTACCACTGTAGAGAACTAAAGGCCTTTGAGCTATGGGTATCCTATAAGAAAGTAGAAATTCAATGAGAGAGGCCACACTTCAGTTATCAATCAACACTTCTTAGTTGAGTGGAAATTTATTGCAAAACCATGAGAGGACCAAACTTGAGAAACAGGTCACTAACTCCACTCAACTCAAGCATTTTCAGATTTCCTGCCTATCTATTGAACTTTTCCTAAAATATTACAAAAGGAAGAGAAGGGAAGGGAGGAAGGAAGGGAGGAAGGAAGGAAGGAAGGAAGAGAGGGAGGGAGGGAGGGAGGGAGGAAAAAAGGAAGGAAGGGAGGGATGGAGGGAGGGAGGGAGGGAGGAGAAAGAAAAGCAGCCCACAAAGGCCTGAAAACTAAGCTACCTATTAGATGCTCTAGAAATATTACACCCAGTTATCTCTTCCTCAAACAACATGGCATTCATAACTGCTTTGTAAAGACATAAGAGCTTTGCTGCATGAAATCCAATAGAGTCCTTAATGATGAAATTCCCACTCTCCCCAGGTCTGTTATACTCTAAATGGTCCAGTCTCCTCTCTAGACTATTCTTAAGGACAATGATAACTGGCCTGTTTTTTGAGTAATTGTTTTTCTAAAAATGACCAACATTTAACTTTTATTGAGACTTCTGGAAGTTCCTTCCTCACCACTTTTAATTGAACTCTGCTCTTTTCCAACTATTTTTCCCCCACGGGAATTCTTCCTTTTTTTTTTTTAACTTTAAACTTTTTTATTTATAGCTCTTAGTCCTTATTTTAAACCTCTCTCATAGAACATCTCTGTGGCATTTCAACACTGTCTATGTTTAACCCAATGTGTTTCTTTCTAGGGTGTAGAGGTTGTGCATGGAAACTACCTAGTGAATGGTTTTGTGAGTTCTAAAGCTAACATAATTACTCTTGTATTTTCCTATATCAGGAAATAAAGATGGAGGAAGCTATGACCTACACAGGTATTCAGACTTTTTTATTCTTGGCAGTGTATTTCTAAATAATTGCATGATCCTGTCATTTCAACTACATACATGTTTCTTACCATGTGGCTGGTTCTCATCGCAGCTCGGGGTGCATGTTTGTCCTAACCACATTCCATCATGTTTTGGCATTGGTGACAGACTTGTCATTTTGCTTTTAAATCAGTTCCCCATTCCCAAAAGAGGTCTCTTATACTTACTGCCATGCTTATTTTGCTTGTTGGATGATGCTTTTAAAAGCCTGGAATGATGTGGAAGGGGAAATGCCTTTGGAAGTACTCTGGGAGAGGTGGGTGGGAGGTTTGTTTTGCTTTAGGACTTGCACGTGGATTTGGTGGGAAGCCTTTATAAAAAATGAGTTAGAGATATTTTTATTAAATATTCCATTGGTGCATAAAAAGGACTGTTGAGAAATTCAGGAATGTTCCAAAGCTCACATTGGAGAAAGCAGAACTCCCTTATTAATAATTTTCATTAACTTCGGTGACAAGAAGCACTGGCTATAAGGATTCAGAAGACTCTGAAAGGGGTAGTAAATAAGGTGAATGGTAAGAGTGTCTTGAGTCAAGATGCTTAAATCAGAGGGCCAGGGGCATGACTCAAGTGGTAGAGCACCTCCCTAGAAAGCACAAGGTGCTGGATTCAAACTTAAGTACCATCCAAGAGAGAGAGAAAGAGAGAGAAATGAAGAAAGAAGGAAAAGAAAGAAAGAAGGAAGGAAAGAAAGAAAGAAAGAAAGAAGGAAGGAAGGAAAAAAAGAAAGGAAAGAAAGAAAGAAAGAAAAAGGAAGGAAGGAAGGAAGGAAAGAAGAAAGGAAGGAAGGAAGGAAGGAAAGAAAGAGGGAGAGAGAGAAAGAAAGTGGATGAATGCTCCGAAAGGTATCAACATAATACTTAGTAATGGCTAAAACACAAACATTTCATGAACTACCCTGCATGCGAACATCTTATCCCTTTTTAATCTGCATTCTCCTTCTAACTCACTGTGTGTGGGAGTAAGTACCTGGTATGGTAGCAGTAGGTCACTCCGGAATGTCAGCCATTGCTATTTTCTCCCTTGAATACTGAATTTGGGAGGCTCTGTGAGAAGCGTGCTTGCTGGGGGAGATTGGGGCACAGATGTCTGCTCCTCACTGATGGATGTGCCTAAAAGAGAAATGTCCATCAAAGAAACATGGACTCCACTAGTTACATCCATATCAATATTGTCTCTAGAAAACAAAGAAAATGGCCACTCTAGAGCCCGTTCACCCTGGCACCTCCCCCAGCGGCCTCCTGAGCAAGGGTCTCAGGTGCTTCTTCTAGACCCAGCTCACTCTTCCACCAAGAGGCTAAGAGGCGATAGGATGAGTGATGGGAAAGACAGAAAGAAAACCCAGGAAGCTGGACTTCTGAGGATGTCTAGAATCATTTATATATCTCTTCTATTGCCCTCCTCCCTCATCTTCTTTCCTTTCCTCCATTGGCCCCACAATGACCCCCATATCACCCCCAGAACACTTAAATAAGGCAGAACAGAAGAAGAACCCATTCTTCAGGGTATGGACTGACAAGCAATAGCCCACACACCAGGACGATTTCTTGCATCTCAAGGATTACATTAAGACATTTCTGAAGTGTGATATAAATGGAAATAATACTATTGGCTTTGCAGTGATTTGGTGATGCACTAAAGGATTTTCAGTCTAACAGCCTTTTACTTCAGTCATGAATGAGGTAAGAGGATATTCATGGGTTAAGACATAGGCCTGGCCAGAGCCCTGAGTCACAGTTATTTTCCATGGCACCATGATGTCATCCCTGAACAACTTTTTAATGAAGGGTGTTTAACTGTACTTGGATATGATTAAGTGACAAGCATCTAGGTTGCTCCCCATCCCTGCTGCCTGCCACATCACTCAACAGTCCCAATAATGTATTGATCCTGAGGTTATTCTGACACAGCCTTGGCAACGCTAGCTGTGGAAATGTGCAGAGGTGACATGTTCCCTGCTGTCCTTCTTGTCCCCTTCCAAGCTACTTACCAAATGGCAAGGCAGAGGATAATGTAGCACTCAATGCCGCTGGCATTATCCACACCACCATCTCGTATAGTGCATCAGCAAGTGGCTTAGACATGTCCCCATTGTAGACAGGGATCCTCACACGGGGTTACTAAGGACATTTGCCTGTCACATCCAGAGACATACTGGACCTCCAAGTGCAGTGTTCAATGCAGTCTCACCTGCTCCTGGGCTTTGCTGGGTTGGAGGGGAGCACTGTCAATGTGGCAGAGATTGCTAATGGATGAGGGAGGGCACAGTGCAAAGGCCCTCGTGTGCACGAAAGAACATTTAGAAGCCTTCCTTCTTTGATTTCGTTAGGCTTAAGAAAACTAATCGGTGTGTTTGTTTGTTAACTCTGAAGTTTGATGAGAAAAGCTTTTGAGAGG